TAAATGATCTCTCATAATCCGTTCGATTTCTTTGGCAATAATTCACGAAGACTCTGATTCAAATGGTTAATTCTATCTCACTGAAACTAAAAATTAAAAACATAATGTAAACACAAATTGATTAATATACAAAAAACTCACCAGCCTTGGAAGTAATCAATCATCACACTAATCTTATTAGTTAACTAGATGAAGGACCCGCATATATGCAGGTTTGTGATTTAATCTTTGATAAATCTACAGAAAATAAAATATTTAATTATGGTGAACAAAATTAAATTACCCGTTAACATAAATAAAATCAAAGTAAGAATGTTACTGCAAAACCATTGATCGAGAAACATATCATTTATTTATTAATTTTTATGTTTTTGCTTTATTTATAATTAAAATTTATCATATCTTTTGAAATTATTAGTTTTTATTAATCCTATTTGAATTTGGTAATTTTTTTTATTTTCAATCTTATTTTACTATTCAAATATCTATATTTTAAAATATTGATGTTACTGCAAAACCATTGATCGAGAAACATATCATTTATTTATTAATTTTTATGTTTTTGCTTTTTTATTTATAATTAAAATTTATCATATCTTTTGAAATTATTAGTTTTTATTAATCCTATTTGAATTTGGTAATTTTTTTTATTTTCAATCTTATTTTNCTATTCAAATATCTATATTTTAAAATATTGATGGATTATTTCTCATAAATATATTTGAATTATATATACTCTTGAATATTTTGTAGCTTGCAAAAATCAAAGACGAAAAAATGAAATACAAAATTAGATCACTCCATTTAAATAATAAAATAAAATTGAAATCGTTATTAGAAAATCATTTATATATAAGTCTATCAAATATTTATCTATTGTATTCTTATAGTTTATTTTTTATATTGTTTGATTTTCAACTAAATTTATCATATATATTCAAATAGTTAAATATTTCTAATCATATTTAAAGTAGGATTATATTTTACTATTTACTAAATCAAGATATTATTATTTTTAAAAATATTTTTGAAATGTGGCTAAATCTAATTAAAAAAAGGGGCAATTGCAAAAATATCACTTTTGGTGTGTACATTTGCAAGAGTGCCACTTAAGGGTGTCCATTTGGAAAAATGCCACT